TTTATAAATGTCTAATTCACATGTTTCCTTTATAAATGTCTAATTCAGGTGCAGCTTTGTGAAAACAAACAAAACTTCAGGCTTCGTTTTCCACATTAACAGAAGAACTGTTTGGTACCACCGAAAAATATAAAGGTTTATTCATGTGCCGAATTTATCAACAGACACTTACAAACCAGATTCACTTAGTTAATTCCTTTAAATTGTGTTTATATTTACAGGTTTTAACAGAAATGCTTAAACTGTCGGATTTTACGTGGAGTTTGGTGAGAAAGGGTCAAAGTCCCCTGTGGATCAGAGCTCGGAGCAGAAACGGCTCAGACTAAGAGCTGGGCGGTTAGTCAACGTTACCAACTGTTAGTTGTCTGGTTAGTTGTCTGGTTAGATGTCTGGTTAGTTAGCTGGTTAGTTGTCTGGCGGATCACCTTTCCTCAGAGCCACGGTGTGCACGCGGTGCGGGATGTTGGTGCAGGTGAGCAGGATGTGCACCGCCCGGCAGGGCTGGGACAGCAGGTCCAGGTACACGTCCACCAGTCGACCTGTTGCCATGGAGACGAAGCCCGTTACTAACCAGGTTAAAAGAACCGGTAACCTGCTAGGTCACCGGTCCACTCGAGTTTCTGGACCGAAGCAGAAGTTCTTCCTCTGCTGTGAGCCTGGTCAGTGAGAGGCGCCACGGCGCATGCGCGCCCCCTGCAGGCGGCCCCGGATACTACAGCCAGAAACACTTAAAAACTGCTTTGCTTAAAAACAACAAAGTCCATGCTCAATAATCCAGGTATGCAATCCAACATTTTTCAGTCAGGTCATCTGGACAGTTTCTTTATTTTTTTTTTTGTGCTGAAACGTTTCACCTTCAGTCCAGAAGGCTTCATCAGTCAAGGAAACACAACAAAACTGATTCCAAAAGAGTTCAATCTGGTCCTCTGGACATTCAAAAAAACAAAACAAAGCAAAACAACAAAAAAATGTAGAAACGTTTCGTCTCTCATCCTGAGGACTTCCTCAGTCTGAGGTGCTGTATTCAGCTCAGTCTCTTAAATAGCACCTTCTCAGAGTGGATCAACCAGTTTGCTGCTGACAACCAGAACCAGCTGATCACATGCTCAAGAAGGACCATCAGCCTAACAATGGATCATTAGCACCTGATGGCTGTTTACTGTTCACAGAGGGCTGAGTGATACTAGCAATCACAGCATTGTAAGAGGGGGACAGTTGAACCTGGAGGCTCCGCCCCTGTTTAATGATGGACGGGTTCTCTTCACAAAGATGGCCTCCTTTACTCCTCTCTCAAACCATCGTTCCCCTCTGTCCAGGATGTGAACATCTTCATCCCTGAAAGAGTGACCTCTGACCTGGAGATGAGTGTAGACCTCAGAGTCCTGGCCTGATGATGTTGATCTTCTGTGCTGGTCCATCCTTTTGGCCAGTGGCTGTTTAGTTTCCCTGATGTAAGACTGATCACCCTCCTGACACTGAACAACATACACAACATTACTCTGTTTGTGCCGGGGGACTGGATCTTTGGGATGAACCAGTCTTTAATGTATTTTGGGGTTTAAAAGCCACTGGGACGTTGTGTTTAGAAAATAAACGTCTCAGTTTCTCTGATACTCCCTCAACATCTGGAATGACCACTGGTCTGGGTCTGGGTTCCTCCTTTTCACCTGTTGGCTGACTGGAGTCCTGTTTGGGTTTCTTCTTTCAGGAAGGCCCAGTTAGGATATCCACATTGCTCTAGAGCCTGTCTTGTGTGGGATTTCTCCTTCTGCCTGGCTCCTGAGCTAGTGGGGACGCTGTCTGCTCTGTGGTACAGAGTCCTGATGACTCCTAACTTGTGCTCCAAAGGGTGATGGGAGTCAAACTGCAAATACTGGTCTGTGTGGGTGGGTTTGTGGTACACCTCTGTTTGCAAATGTCCTCTATCAGAGACTGAGACCTCACAGTCCAAGAAAGCCAACCTGCCATTTTTTACATCTTCTCGTGTGAACTTGATGTATTTATCCACAGAGTTGATGTGGTCAGTAAAATGTTGGACTTCATACTTCAGCGTCACAATAACATACACCTTCACTTCACAGGTTTTATTAGAAAATTTATTTCTGTACAAAAACATTTCAGAAGCAGCAAGAAACGAGTTTCAGTGAAGCATCTCCAATTTAAAACTGAGGCTCCTGAACGCACCGCAGAAGTCCACATTATCCTGCTCCCATTTTAAACAGCCTCACTGTCCTTAAATGCACCAGATGAAACGGCCTTCAGGTCCGGCCTTCAGGTCCGGTCTTCAGGTCCGACCTTCAGGTCCGGCCTTCAGGTCCGGCCTTCAGGTCCGGCCTTCAGGTCCGACCTTCAGGTCCGGCCTTCAGGTCCGACCTTCAGGTCCGGCCTTCAGGTCCGGCCTTCAGGTCCGACCTTCAGGTCCGGCCTTCAGGTCCGGTCTTCAGGTCCGGTCTTCAGGTCCGGCCTTCAGGTCCGGTCAGATGTAAAACTACAGAACAAACAGAACTTTGAGGAACTTCAGCGTCACATAAACATTTCTATATGTTGTTGTTTTTTTTCAAACCCACGTGGAGTTTTATTTACTGTTAACAGTCTGATGATCCGGTCCAGTTTCCACAGGATGGCTCGGATCTGGTTTCCATGGTTTGGTTCTGTGGAACCCGTTGTGGGTCTGCGGCGGGCCGGCTGATCATGCCTGAGAAGTGATTGGCCGAAGCTGCAGAACCATCAAGCTGCAGCAAAGATCTCTGCAGGAGAAAGAAGACCGGGTCAGTTTGTTCTGATCGTTTCTGCACCGACCCAAACACGAGCGGCTGATCGCTGCGAGCACGTGTCAGGCTGCATCCTAAAGTTTCTGTCCTCTCGAGTCCAGCACAGACACATTCGGTCAGATCTTACTGTAATAAATGATGAATTATTAATTATGGGCTAAAGCTACAATTAGATTAAAAAAGGTTTAAAGTTTCACCTTCGTCCTGTTTGTTCATAGTTAACTGGATCCAAGACGAACAGAACTTTAACGTTTTCCTACAGAATAAATAAAAAGCTGGACCTCCAGGTCTGAGAAGTGAAGCCCATCTGGATCTTCGTCTGCACTCCTCTGGATTATATTACTGGTTTTAGTTTTGTTTCCGACCGCCCTCTGGCTCAACAAACTGGTTCTGGATTTGTTTGAAGCGCAGGAGAGGATTCGGATCGAGGCATCATGACTGACTGTTTTGAGCCGTATTATCGTTTTGTATTTTATTTCTAGTCCCTGAATTAATTTGGATTAACCCCCACCCCCCCACCCCCCCTTCAAGAGGTGAAGAAGAGAGTCCAGGCAGGATGGAGTGATGGAGAAAAGTTTCAGGAGTGATTTGTGACAAAAGGGTGTCAGCAAAGGTCAAAGGAAAAGTTTACAAGACAGTGGTGAGGCCAGCTATGTTGTATGGTCTAGAGACAGAGACATGGACAAAAAGACAGGAGACAGAGACATGGACAAAAATACAGGAGACAGAGACATGGACAAAAAGACAGGAGACAGAACTGGAAGTGGCAGAAATGAAGATGTTGAGGTTCTCCTTAGGAGAGACGATGATGGAGAAGATCAGGAATGAGATCATCAGAGGTACAGCACAGGTTGAACACCTGGGAGACAAAGTTAGAGAGGACACACTGAGATGGTTTGGACATGTCCAGAGGAGGGACAGTGGTGTGGACATGTCCAGAGGAGGGACAGTGGTTTGGACATGTCCAGAGGAGGGACAGTGGTTTGGACGTGCCCAGAGGAGGGACAGTGGTGTGGACGTGTCCAGAGGAGGGACAGTGGTTTGGACGTGTCCAGAGGAGGGACAGTGGTTTGGACATGTCCAGAGGAGGGACAGTGGTTTGGACATGTTCAGAGGAGGGACAGTGGT